TAAAAGAAGCTAGCTATTTCAACAAGAGTGTGAACGGAGAAATCGGAGTTAGAAAGACGAGAAGCAATTTGATTATTAACGGGAAAAAAAAGAAGGAACAATGTTATTTTTGTTAATGCCCCCTTTTTTTAATAAAAATATCTCTTTTTAATTTTAATTTTATTTTATTTTGGATAAGTTTGATAGATTATAGAAGACTTGGAGTGCAAGGGCGCGCAAACCGCAAACCGCAAACCGCGGGCGCGACCGAGTCCCACCATTACCGCCCAAAAAGAAACATGTTCCTGCAAAGTCGATGCAACAATTATTCGCGCCGTACCCAACACCCCCCAAAAAAAAAATAAAAAAAAAGGCAAATGAAATTTAGAAAAAAAAAAGAGAGAAAAATAAAAGCGAATCGACATATTCAACGCGCGGACGAAAAGGCCAAAAAAAGGGAATTCTCATTTTCAATTGTATCTATAATATAATAATAATTTATTATTACGATTAACAAAAATAGGAAAGCGAAATATGCTCCGAGGGATTTGCCGACCAAGGACCCGGGGGGGCCCCACCGAAAGCGGCCGCCGCGCCTTCCCCCAACTTCCCACTTCCTCCCGCCGCGGGCCCCGCCCTTGTCTCCCACCACCACCACCACCACCACCTTAAAAAAAAAAACACAAAAAAAAAACGACGAATTAAATAAAAATAATTTTTAAAAAAGTCGGTATTTCTTTTTTGTTTATTTAGTTTTCCTTTTTTTGGCGGGAGAAAATGTTTTTTTTTTCCTTGGCGGCCAAGTCTGGATTAGCGTGGAGCTGCCGGATTCGATGGTAGGTGTGTTCTTCGGAAAATCAAATCGCGACGGACCGCTTTATCCCCCGACCGCAAAGACAAAAATAGCCCCGTAATTTCGTATAAAATAAAATAAATTCAATATAATCAAATTTCAAAAAGTTAATATCGCGAAAAATTCCAAACCGGCATGCCTGTGATAAATTTATCCGAAACTAATATTTTGATCACAAAAAAAAAAATCTCGAACCGGTACATGTGTAACTAACTTTTTGACCACCGAAAACCCTAAATCGAGACATTTATGACAAATTTATCCTCTGTTAGTTTCTGTTGAATTGGATTAATATTACGAAAAACCACAAACTAGTAAATAAACGAAAGGTAAAACACCAAATCGGTACACCTCATCAATTATCACATGTCTTTCAATTTAGTAATTTAACTATAAAATTTAATGAAAATTAACATACGATAAATATTAACCTTTATTGAATGAAAAATACGACGTCATATCGTGGATTTTATGGTAAAAGTACAAGACGTACGAAACCACCGCTCTCCTCCATTAATTTCCCATTCCAAAGTATACAGTTCATTACATCAAACGTGGAGTTCTCCCGTGCATACAAATTTACTATATTTATATATCCAATTTTTTAAGAAAATTTTTATTTTTTTAAACAAATTGAACATAAAAAAATAATGTTCCCCCAAAAAAAAAATCATAAAAAAATAATTGCGCGTGCATAGAAGCGAGCCAATCTGTTAAGCCAAAAACCACTCGTTTTGCATCCATTGTTTTCGTGAAACCGCTACTTCTCTTCTCTTATATAACCTCCCGACTTCACTCGTGTTGGGGCGATTGGTTACCGGATTTGTCCGCTTCCCAGATTGGACATATCCAGTGTAGAGTTTTGGCAATTTCCTTTCCTTCACTCCATAAAGAAAAGGAAAAAGAAAAAGAAAAAGATATCGGCTCGGGTAGATCGGTTTCCGCCTGAAATTGGTAACCGATAACCGGCCGGTCCGGTTCTCGGGTCGGTCCAGCTCCCGTGCCCGAGATTTTCACAATAAGCAAAAATTAACGATAATTATCATCTAATTTTGGATTTACCGAATTTGTTCCATTCTTAATTCGAGATTGGATGTAGACAAGGTACCGCCGAATGTTAAAACCTACACAGAAGAATCGAGATCAAGAAAAGCAGCTCATGCATGCGCACACGCAAAAAAAAAATACAAAAAAATATATACAAAAAAATCTGGACGGCAGCGCGACACGTGGCGCTCTTCCTGGACGTCGCGCGACTTTTCTCGGTCAACGCGGGAAATGGACCCGACCGGTCCCCCCCCCCCCCCCCTCCCGCCTTGAAACGAGAAAGGCCGCGTCGACTTTCCTCTTACGCGCTTTCGACGCGCGCCTGAGTTTCACGCGCCTGCGCGCGTGTTTTTTTCTTATCCCCCACGTGACGAATTGTCGTCCAGGTTCAATGATTATTATCGAGTGGAGAAATCGAAGAGCATCACCGGTTGGGATTGGAACTAGTGGGATGATTTATGTTTGAAATCGTCGTTTCTTGTAGCGAGATTGATGAAAGAAAGAAAGAGAAGCGAAATCGATCTAATTACGCGAAAATCCCGATTAAGCTCGGGGTAAATGTTGTACGGCACTCGAAAGATTAGTGAGGTTTTTTTTTCGGCGGGAGAAATTTTGCTGCGCGATGAGGTGCCGGCCCGTGTTGGAAAAGACGGGCCGGAGGAAAGATAAAACGGGTTGATGCGGGCGATTGAGACGAGAGAGAATTAAAGGCCGATTTGTTTTAGGAACGTTAGCGTAATTGGACGGTGATCTAGATAGATGAAGGCCGATTCGTAATTACTTTTGTAGGGGTGCGAGTTTGTGGTTGGGATGAGGGTCTAAGAGGTGAAAAGAGACCTAAATGGGCGTGCTCGGTTATTTGGGAAAGAGATTTTGAGCGCGTGGGTCGTATTGACGTTTGGTAAAATGATTCATATAAACGAGCTCGGTTAGTGGCAAAGAAAGGAACTTTCGTAGATAGGTTTTTTTTGTTAAATATAAATATGTATACCATTTGGGCCTAATTTGTTTTTTCACAAAAAAGTATAATTGATGGTTAATCTTGTCTTTTTATATTTTTATAGAATAAGCATATTAATTCTTGTTATAATCTCTAGAATTTACTATACCAAAAAGAACAATGAAACATATTAAAATGGAGGGATTTCATCTCTTTTATGGTATATGATTTTTTGTTAGTTTATCGTGGTTTTTCTTAAATCATAATACATTAATGTTCATTTAATTTTTTACATTGTTTCTACATACAAAGATTGGTAATATCCCAATGTTCACTCTCGCGGTCGGCAAAAGCCAGGGCGAGGCGACCTTCACCCAAACCCGACGAGAGTCGCTGGCGGCAACAAAGAAAAAAAAGAGAAGAAAGAATAAATAAATAATTCAAAATTTTTAAAAAAAATTGCAAAAATTAAGTCAGCCCCGGTGTGTTAAGTAGGACGGTCGGTGTGGCATCGCCGGCATCCACGTCAGCAATTTCTGATCAAAATTTGCCAGATGAATCATATTAACAAATTGTTAAAAGGTTTATGACTCAATTGACCAAAATTTCGACCAAAAAAAATTAACCAAATAAAAAGGTTTAGTACTGAATTTGTACGGGTACAATAAATTTGGGGCTTTCTTGGTAATTTCTTCAAAAGAGAAGTATCAAGACACTCGCGAGAGTTCAATTGACTTGCCACATTTTGAAGCCTCCAATTCTATATAGTCTTTCGACCCAAAAAAAAAGGAAAAGAATTCTATATAGCCTTGAAGAATCGTGTGAAGGAAGGTTGGTATCGAATGTATCGTAAGTAAATTACGTCACCTGCCCGTGCTTTTATGACGTCACAAATGAGATGTAATCCCACTTGAATGTGTTCATCCCCCCGACCCGAGGCTCAGTCAATTCGGACCGCTGCCATTTACATTGAATTTTTTTACCATTTTGGGCATTTCGGTAGGTCGGATTTTGACTAGGAAGAGAAGGGAAATTCGGACTTCTCTTTTGGTTGCGAAGAGCATTGATTTTGGGTTAGGTTTGGAGCATTCTTAGATATACAAGGTGAAGTTGCTGTGACCCCATTCTAGTTAAAGACCCAACACAAGAATTCAATTCCCAAATTCACATTGGTGAAAGAAAAGGGTGCATCTAGAGGAGCTTTCCCGAAATTGGGTCGATCGAAGAAACGAGATTCGGTGCGTCCTCTCAAATCGGCGTCGTAACATTTTTTCCCCCCATTGTTGGGGAGAATTGTCGTTCCCGAAAATTAAGTGTTCCGTTTTTTGGTACCTCGAACGGCGCGTGGTAGCTTTCCTGTGGGTTTGCAACGGATTTCGTTAAATGACAAATATGCCGATTAAAAGAAATTTGTCATTTCTAATGCATCGTCTCTCACGTCTCACCACCGATTTTATGGACATGGAGCGCGTCGTAACAAGATCCTCATGTCAGCTAAGTATCTAGACAATATGGAGTTAGAAAATCAAAGTTGCAAGTACTTTAATGCGAGCATATCCTCTCGCCTTTCCGTCCTTAAATAAGAGAGATCGCAGCGCCATTATGGAAGGGTCCATAACAATCCGATTCATTACGTTAATTAGGAAAGTTACGGAACCGATCTTATCCAACGCCCCCGTGATTAATCTTTTTTCTACCCTTTGGAATCGCACGAATTTGCGGAGACAAACTTTGGATTCAATGCATGTAATTGCGAGAACCTTCACTAATCAACTTAATAATTGACCACAAAAAAAAAAAACTTAATTAATTAATCAAAATATCATTACTTAATCTTGAAATTTAGTTTTGACCCACGAAATTCCACAGAGAGCGGAGGCGTAGGAACCTGGACAATCATCTCCCTAAAAGAGGAAGGGCATTCTCGTCAAAACACATATCCATGTTTGGCAAAAACCTATTGAGATTGTTGGACCCCCTCCTTTTTGTGCGTGGCGATAAGATCGGTGACCGTCCAAAGCCGATTAGGGAAGGGAGCATGCCGATCGGCGTCCGCCGGCGACCGCGCTCCGGCGAGACGCCGATCCGGGGAGACCGTGGCGATCGGAAAGGGCGAAATAGGGTCGGGTCAAGTCGGGTCGAGCTGTTGGTCGATCGGGCGAGCGAGAGAGAGAGAGAGTGGCGATGAACACATTGGTATTGTAATGTAAGCTACGAACAACGACGAGAGTCGAAAACCGTCGCCGGCTTTTCTCCTCCGCCGCAAAAAAAAACGTTGTTATTCACATCGAGATCGATCGGGAGATCAAACAGATCGATCGAAACATTCTCCGATCTAAATTTCCCTAAATTTTCTTCTTCTTCATTTTTTTTTTGGCCTTTTTGTCTAATTTCTTCTAAAATTAAAATCGACAAAAAGCGGAACGATCGAGGGCCGGAGATTTCGTTCCCTCGATAAAACCCGGCGCCGCCGCCCCTACACATCCCGTCGTCGTCGTCGTCGTCAGGCTGACTCCGGCGGCGGCGGCTCGTTGAGATCGAGATCCAGCGCCCGGGCGGGCTTCCGGCTGCGGTCGTTCGCGTCCACGACGGCGGAGCACGAGTCGGAGTCGCTCCGGGACCCGTCGGCGGCGGGGGCCGGGGCCGCGCGCCGGTCGAAGATCAGCCGCTGGTAGAGCTGGTTGTTCATCGCCTCCGCCCCCGCCCTCGCCATCGCGTCGTAGTAGAAGAGCTGGTACGGCGCGGGCGCCGCGGCCTGGCGCGGGAACAGGAGCCCGCTACCGCCGCCGCCGCCGCCGCCGCCGTGGTAGGCGAGGTTGAGATCCAGCGGCGAGGAGTCGGCCATCGGGGCAGCCGGGTCGTGGCCCGACGACTCGACCGTGCTGCTCTGGCTCGGGCTGCGGCTGCAGGCCTTCTTGGCGGCCGCCCCGCCCTTGTCGGCGCCGCCGCCACCTGCGACGAGGAGGACCGGGCGCTCCGAGGGGAGGGGGAAGTTCGTCTTGGCCTTGGAGCCGCGGAACTCCCTGGCGGCGTTGTCGTAGGCGCGGGCGGCCTCCTCCGCCGTGTCGAAGGTGCCGAGCCACACCCGGCTCTTCTTGCCCGGGTCCCTGATCTCCGCCGCGTACCGCCCCCACGGCCTCTTCCTCACCCCCCTGTAGTGCCCCTCCCTCCCCACGCCCCGCCCCCCGCCGCCGCCGCCGACCCCGCCCCCGGTATTCGCCTTCTCCTTCATCGCCATCGGGCCGTCTCTCCGCTCGGTCCCTAGAGAAAGAGAGAGAGAGAGAGAGAGAGAGAGTTAGAGCTTCTGGTGGGTTGTGGTGGTGGGGGATGGGGTATTGGGTTCTGACAATGAGGGGGAGAAGGGAAGCGCAAGAGGCTCCTTTTATAGCGGCGGAGGAGGAGGAGGGGTCGGCGAGTAATTATTGGTCAACGAGGAATTTGACCGCGGGTGAGGGGAGAGGGGGGGCGGCTGCTTGCGGGGTGGTTACGTGGCACGACGACCCGCGTGTCACCGATGTGGGAGAGGGTTTCTCATCGTATCATTATCCCCCCCGTCCGCTATCCGACGGCGGCTGCCTCCCTCCCTCCCTTCCCTCGCTCCCTAGTGGAACATGGCGACACCTATTTTCTATTTCATTTGTTTTCAATTTTTTAAAATCATTTTATCGATTTTTAGATTTTTTTTTTTTTATTTTCGGTTACGTTCGTTCGGCGAGGGCCGCTCGCCCGCCCTCGGATTGCGTGCGCCGTGAGCGCGTGTCCCCGCACCGCCGGCCCCCCACCCCGCGATTTTTCCGCGGGCCGGATTTCGTTTCCCCCGCTCCCCCTCGATCGCGGCTCGTTTGTGGCCCTCGATTCGCTCGTCCGATCCGACGGTCCGGATTCTTCATCCACGGAAAACTTCCCTCACGGGTCCTCCCCCATCCCCCATCCCCATCCCCCGCTCCCAAATCGAGGAGAAAATCTCCCTAAATTTTTTCCCCTCCTTTTCGTTTTTCCTTTTTCCAATCGCATTGCCGGATCTGGACCCTCGCATGGTCTATCTCATCCACGACACGTGGCCGTCGACCGTCCAATGAATCGCTTCCCCGAAGCTTCTAGAGCCCGGGAGCGTCTTCGACGTTTACACGCGCGTCCCCGTGTCCGTGCCGTCCCTGTCTCTCGGCGGGCGCTCTTATCTCGCGGGTCCGGGCGTTTGGATCCCGGTCCCAGATCGGTTCAGGCCGATTGCTTTTTTCGGGAAGCAAAGCCTCCGACGGCTACGGAACGTCGCGGGAAAGCGACTTGCGATCGGGGCACGACACGACCCGGATATTCGCATCGCCCTCTTGTGGGCCCGCACCTCGATGAATTTAGCTCGAATTTCGATTGCCCCCTTGTTTTTTTTTGGGGGTCGCGATAGTATCGGTCGATTTCCCTCATGTGTACCACGTTCCGCGATCCCCCGCACCATATACAATACTCTCCCCAGAATTTAAAAAAGAAAAAAAAAATCCCTTTTCAATCAAATTTGCTCGGTGGTCCGACCAAACCACAAAAAAAAACAACATCGATTGCTCGGCGGGGCCCGCCCACCCCGGCGCGTGGGTGAAACGGAGCGCGTGGGGGAGAACCGGCGACCGGCTGCAGCCGGTGGAATCGAGTGCGGGGGGGGGGGGGCGGCGGCGTGCTCGTCACCTCCGCGCGCAGCTTCGAGAGCCGGCTCTGCTTTTCGGCTCTCTCTTTTCCGGGCCTTTATTTTATTGATTTCATTTATTTTTTCATCGATTGAATTTATTTATTCATTTATTTTTTTTAATTCGATGGGCCGAGCTCTCATTTTCACGCGCTTTGCGAGATACAATGCCGTGGTCCCGTGGGGGCACTACTAGCCTCCTTCTGTGTCTCTCTCACCGCGTGCGTTTTATGGCACTCGCTCGGGATTTCTGAGGAGGAGGAGGGTGTGATGACCGTAATGCCCCTACCCCCCCACCACGGGGAGAGGAGGGGGGGACCGCCTCGTCCCGCCGCCACGGTCGGAACGGCCCCCCGGGGTAGATGGAGAATAGACCCGATCACGAGCTCGGGACGCGGCCGCTAAAGGCTCGGAGGGTACTTTTCGACGGGGACCCGGATGAGGGTGTATAATGCCTGGGGGGCCGATTGAGTCGTTGTTCACTTGGACTCGAGTGGGGACCGTCCGGCTCGCATGGTTCTTGTTTACATGATTTTTTGATGGGCGGTGCCGCCGTGGGTCCGGCTCATCCATTGATAATCGCCTCTAATCTTCTTCATCTCGTGCGATGCATCAAATGGGTCCGTACTTGATCGATATGGAAAATAGGAACCGGGAGACCTCGATAACTCGTTACATCGTTGAGTATATACCGCAAATAATTTTATCTAGATGTTATCCACCCGATGATTTTTAATCTGTTGGATGGCGTGATACTCCAAAAGTAACTCAAGAAAAATGTATGAGGAATGGAAGCGGAATAGATTTGTGACCGTTGTTGGTAAAATTGCAGTATGTTTAAATAAAATACACGTATAATGTATGTACATGATTTTCAATGAAACTTCCATCTCCCGGATATATTTGATCATCTTACGAAAGAAAATACTAATTCTCTTGGGGGTAAATAAATTAAACACGTATCAAATGCACGCTGTATCGTATTTGGGTAAAATTATCTCAATTTTTAACCTATTTTATATCTTTTCATCGGTCAATCAATAATGTAATATGTCAACTTTCAAATATAGGTAAAAGATATAATCACATAATATCACATTCATGAAAATAATTATACTATTCTTTTGATTTGTATTCGGATATCACACACACACATGTAAGAAAATTCAATTGGTAAATTAATTTGTAAAAAAAATTGGGATAAACTCACTAAAGCAATCAAAGGGTAGTTGTATGTAGAAAAAAAATGCTAGAATAAAATTAATTTTGGCTTTTAGGTTTACAAAATTACATGAGTAAATAAAATCTCAATTTTTTTTTTAAATAGGGTAAGGGCAGTTTTGTATGGCATATCAAGCTCGGGTTCAGACTATCACACAAGTATTCCAAACCCGTACCAAATAAATTGGTTTTTTTAAAATGGAATCCCAAACCCGTTCACCCAACCCAAATGTCAATATCCATTTATGATCTATTACGCTCGGGGCTAGACGAGAACCTGCTTAATGCGGAGCACGCTTCCTGGAATTGTCGTACGGATTACACTAGAGTCCCATACTTTCGATCGATTAATCACTTTTAAGTCTCAAGAACTTTAAAAATGGTATTTAAATATCTTCGGCAATTCATCTTGTTGGAGCACTTGGCATTTTGGGCATCGGTTCAATGTCCATTCGTAAGCACACTCAAACCCATGTTTGTTTGGTTCAAAATTCTTCCTACCTGCATCTGTAGCTCACCATGTTAGAGTTCTCATACAAGGGGGGACTCACACCCTTCGACGATCACTCGTGATCGAACTTAATCGAGCTTCTGCAACACCGACACGGCAAATCTTGAGATCGAGCTTAACCGGCTCTTTGCTGCGCCGGACCATCCGAAAAGCGGGAAGCTTCGGATCTTTGGAAGGACCCAATTCAAACCCTAGTTTTAGCTACAATCCACACGCTCTTGATCACTCGCCCCAGTACACTCCTCTGATCCTTACATACGTGCAGCGATCTGGCATGCCGCAGGTGTGAACGGTGACGCCATGAATGGCTGCTCCGTTACGCGGCCGAATAAAGTCAAGGGACGCGAAACAGCACGAGAGTCACGGACTGTCTACTCCTCTTTCTGTTTCTGCGTGTGTTGACCTTGACCTTCAACGTCACCGTATTCAATGCTTACCCATCTCTTTCTTTTTTCCTCCTTTTATTTTTGGTTGGACTCGGTTTGGGACATCTGACTAAGGAAACTTCAGAAGGGGACAAGGGTTTCGAGAGTATAGAGCCATGATTGGAGCCTTCTTTCGTGGAAACCCTAGAATGATTCCTGTGTGTCTTTTTGACCGGTGGTAGATCTTGCAGCTAATGGGGCTTTGTCTTTACAGTCTTAGCTTTTGTCTTGTTTGGTCTTCAGGGATGGGGTGCTGAGCCCAAGTAGAGTAGGCCTCGAGTTGGTTTTGTGTTAGTCTGGTTGGTTTTGAAGCATAGCAGGAGGAGCTTTCTTTTTGGGCTATCGATCGGAAACACGGACATGTGCGTCTATGATAATAATGAAATGTGTGAGACGTTAGGGTTGTAGCACCAAGTAGGGTTGTGCAACTGGATCGATTCTACTGAACTGGATTGATCGACTTGAAAACAAGTCCGGTTCCAAGTTCCCGATTCCCGGCCTGAGTGAAGATTTACCCGGGAACCAGACCGATCAGATCGAACTTGGAACCGATTTCATAAAGTCTAAAAATCTTAATTTTTCTCTTGGTATCTTTTTCTCCATTTCTATTTTTCTCTGTTGTCTCCAACCTCACTCAGACACTTCACGATTCTCTTTTTGTCGCTCGCAACTCACCCTCCTCCTTGCTTGCTTGCAGTTTGCCGTTGCTCATTCGAGTTTCGCAACCCTCGCTTATTCCTGACTCGCCTTTGCTCGCTCTCCCTTGTTCATCCTTTTATTTTGAACTATTTTGATGCTCATATTATTTTGTTGTAAAAAATGAAAGTAAAAAAAGGAACAAAAGAAAAAAGGGTTAATACCACGAAAAACCCCAAACTGGTATACGTGTGACAAATTTACCCCGAACTAATTTTTTGACCATTAAAAACTCCAAACTGGTACACCTGTGACAAATTTACCCCGAACTATTTTTTTGACCACCAAAAACCCTAAACTGGTACACTTATGACAATTTTACCTCGAACTAATTTTTTGACCACAAAAAATCCCAAACTGGTACACCTGTGATAATTTTAACCTGAACTAATTTTTTGACCACTAAAAACCCCCAAACTGGTACATTTGTGGCAAATTTACCCTTTGTTAGTATCCGTTAAATTTGATTAATATCACAAAAAATCACAAATTGGTAAACTTGTTTGGTAAAACCCAAAACCGGTACAACTGTTAATTACCACGTGTCATTAAACTTAGCAATTTGACAGTAAAATTTAACGGAAACTAATGGAAGGTAAATTTGTCACAGGTATATCAGTTTGGTTATTGTTTACATGATTTTTGATGGGCGGTGCCGCCGTGGGTCCGGCTCATCCATTGATCACCTCTAATCGTTTTCATCCTCCATGATGCATCAAATGGGT